TATATATATATATATATATATATATATATATATATAACTAAACGAACTTTATGGTTGTACGGCAGTAAAGCATCAGTGCCAACGCTGATGTTGCTGTCATTGATGATGATGATGATGATGATGAGTGTCGTTATCGGTGGACCGCCGATCCGGTCAGAGTTTTGCAGAAACTATTCTATTGACAGTCAGAGAACATGGCCTAGACTTCATAGACTCGATTTTTAGTCGGTCGGTTATTAGGATGCTCCCATACGCATTAGTTCGCAATAGATTGCTTGTGTAGACTTGAAGTTTATCCGTTCCCGAGGCTTCACACGATCCACTCCTTTTATATCTCCTCTCCCCAACACAGTTCAGCACTTCCGTGTTTGCGACACCATCCCCGTGGTTGCTTTCGGGGCTTGCATCCCAGCCTCCTCCTTTCCGAAGTGAGTCCAACCTACCTTCTTTCCACACACCCTCCACGCTGCTTTCTGGTTTCATCTCTCTCCCTCTCTAAATATTAGTGTGCGAAGTCCGTCTTTTTTCTTAGACCTTCATACTTCTCTGAGTCATGTGAAAAAGTTGTGATTGCATCACACACTTGTCCATACCGCTGCATTGTATGATGAGTGAGCTACTTCCTCTCTCTCCACGATCATGTGAGTGAAAGAAGTCTACCGTAATTAAAGACTGTTGGGGGGACCAGGCACAGAGATACTTCATGTGGTCGATCGATAAATTGCACGGCAACCAATATCCAGATTTACTTCATCGTGATTTTAAGATTGGCTTGCCTTATTAAGCAGTGAGCATGGGCTCACTAGATCAGTTTCCCGATGAACTTCACGGCTTGCGGTTCGGTCAATTGGAGAAAAAACTCCCTGTACTATCGCAATACCACCGCCAGTTGCTTTCTCGATTATATGCGAATACCCTTTTTACTGTTCGCTCCATTGAAACTCACACTCAATTTTTTGGATAGCTCCCATCTAGGCTTGGTCACACTGTCATCATCCTAGCTGTCGTGGCTTATTTAGCTCACATTACAGTTGTGTAACGAAGGGTTGTCACAGCTGACCTAGTATCCATCCCAATCGTTCTGCAAAGGACCTCGGTAAACTAGGTAATAGGAGGTGATACTTATTAGGTTGTGGCACCCCTTTAGCGCACCTCTGCTTCCCAACCCAAAGGCAGTAAAGCACTGTGTTAATGTCAAGCTAGCCAAGTCGAAAATCCAGAGTGGTATTCGAACCACCAGTCTTCCGGTCAGTGGACTCACGCCCCAACCACAGAGCTATCCAAGCTAGTTTGTTATAAACCGGCTTGGGATGGTCCACTAAATTACATTTGAACAACTCACCATCCCTTTTTGCTGGTCGTACCGTCATCGTTTACGGTACTGGGTTGCGTTATCACTATCCTCCCATCTGTAGGAACTGACATGTGAACCAGCTAGTCACCCCTCCAGAGTCAACTGATGGTGCCAGAGTGACAGTCACTGTTATGGAACCGCGAGGTTCTTGTTCCTGATTTCACAGTCTGTTGACTTGCCCTTCTATTCGACCAGGAGTCCATAATTTCGGGACTTCATCTTATCTTATCTAACATTTCGATGGTCCATCGCGTGTGACGAATTGGAGGTACTCGTTCAGCCGTAACACCCTTTCGGTACCTAGCTATCATGACACCTGAAGGTAGCACGAGGGCTACTAGGATGCCCAAGCCCAGACAGGGTAAGTCAAGAGGCAGAGGTCGGGTTCGAACCACGGACCTTTTGGTTAATTTTGACCTATCGGCACTTCCTCGTTGCGCCAATTATTGAAAAATATTTCAGTGTCTTCATTCCGCATCGGTTTCCATTACATCTGCTTATTTCTTCAATGTAGGATCGGTCGACTTGAAAGTGTAGTCGGACGCACATAGTTTCCATATACGTTTCCATACACGAAGACTATTTGTAAGTTTTACAGAGTCCGGCCAACCTCCCTCATTCGAATGCTTTGGTTTGTTTAGTTATCCACATCATGTTTTTTCACTTTCTATCCACCTTGCTTGATTCCATTGCTCACATTCTTGTTTTTTTTTCGAACAGATCTTTCAAACACTAAAGGCTAGAGTCAATTACAACAACGTTTACGTTCATCCTTGTCCAAATTGTTGGTCTGGCGTCTGTACAGTCCCTTGTTCGTTCCTCGCCACGCGTTTACCCCATTGTAGATTCAGAAACCCTTCCCTGGGTTTTTCAGTTCTTTCCCTTAATGTACATGATCCAATTTGACCCAACTTGTTGCTTTTTGTTGTAGCTCCTTTCGAACCATCGTCTACCCTTCATGTTGATGAAGGGTTTTGTTTTGTTGTTTCTTCGATTCATTTTTCCTCTGCCTGGTTTTGAAAAATGTACACATATCTCATTGCCCTCCCGTAATTTTTCATGTTGTTGGTTCTTTCCTTCTCGGATGGCCCCATGTCCTGCAATCACTGGGTGCCTGTCAGGCATCCTCTTGTTTGCCCTTCATGCACACTTTTGTTTGCCTATATTTAGCCTTCAGTCCGTTGTATACAACCAGTCCTTTCATCAGCCTTGCTTGTTCGGTGTCCCGGTGGTATAAGACGTGGTTGGTGTCGTCTAAAGTCGTTCAGCTGCAACACCCTTCCGGTGCATACCTGCCATGCCACCTGAAGAAACCACTGGAGCTGAGGCACTGCCAGGTCATCCAAGCCAACCTCGGGATGCCGAGGCATTATCTCCGGTCGTGATCTTGTTCCCAGACTGACTCTATGACCGTCGCCATAACGGAAGCATGCTTGAGCATGAGAAGGTCAGTGGTGAATGCTACTAAAAGCTCGCATATAGCAGTTTCTTGCTTTGTTGTAACCCACTCAAAATAGCTCAGGAGTCAAGGCGCCAGCTTACGGACTAGGCAATATCCCAGCCCTCGTGCCTCCCGTTGCATGGCAACTAGGCACCGAAGGGGTGCTACAGCCGGACCGTTTATTGTCGTCGGCTGTTCAAATTATTGGGTACTCAAAAGAGACCCAGGGGATTGGGAATGAAGAGGAAAATCAGATACTTGAACAGGCCTTCCATCAAAGCGGTTGAGTCCTGTGCACTCTGTTCACTGTTCCCGCGCACTGGCTGAGGTCGTCCTGGTTAATCTGTTTGAGAAACCAAGGGAGTGCTAAATTGCGGTTAATCTGTACCAAGCAGTGTAGATAGGATGTTGACGACTCAGTCCAAGTTCACATCCCCTGGACTCATGATGTCCAGGTGCTAGAGACAAACTCCCAAAGTCGTTCAATAAATCGCACGCTAGTGCAACATCTTACCATGGTAATGTTGGAAATCTCTATCCTGTACAGACTCCGCGGAAATGATTGGTGACAAGTCAAATGGCCGGAAGTTGACAAAAACACTGTGAAGGTGGGCGGCGTACGTGCTGCGGTTGCAAGTCATTCTAGTGTTTACGTGCCATGGCCCTGCGAGAAAGTCGAAACACTGGATAACCCGTAAAGCACTTTCAGCGTCTGAAGGGTAGTTTCGAAAGAGAAAAAGAGTGGGTGAGGGAGGGGACCTAGTGCTGGCCTATGTCAAGCATACTGAGGTGCCTACACCTCCAACCGCTCAATCAGATATTCTGGAAAGAAACTGACAGCAAGAACGCCACTGACATCGTCACGAAGAGACTAGATCTTACTGTGGTGTGGCGGTTAGTGTTCCTCGGAGACCCATTGAACTATACTGGGGGGTGTCCGCGCGACAGGGTTTCTCATACCAGGTTGGTCCATGGGTAGAGGTCCGACGAACACAGTCTCCTGGCCCTCCGGGTTTGGGGTTGGAATATGTATGGCGACCTGTTCCGTAGAAAAGGTAGTGCGTTTGCATTTCCCCGCCAAACACCGCTGCCTTGCGGTTAGGATTTTGAGCCAAAGGCTTTGGTTGAGGACCCTAATCGTCCTCCTGTCTAGGTGTGGGCGCCCTGTCAGTATCCCAGCCCTCGTACAACCATGACCTACACAACTAACAATACTCTCCGAACAACACGATCTAGTCTGATACCTCGGGTCTACAGTCCGACCTCTACAAAGCGGTACCATCTCTTTATAGGGATCCCCTTAACTGAAGGTATAATGAAGTAGACGCATTAGCGATCGCTTCCTCCAACCAATCAGAAACGGACATCTTACTATGAAATTTAGTAGTAAAGAGATGCCTCAGAGTGAATACAAAACAAACTAATTAGCGAAATACGCTCATTTGTACACCAATTTGGTTTTCACGGCAGATGTTCTCCAACTGAATATGCCGCACAAAGGCCGCCTCATGTTTCAGTTGCCTTTATACGCCAGTGTCACATTACATTGTGTAAACGTAACACACTGCTCATAAGGTTGCTGAAAACTCGTCGACAACCTTACCAGTAGTGTGCTGCGTCAAAGCAAATATTCTCCACAAAACAGCTGAAATTTTCTAATTTGGTTTAGGGCCCTGAACATCCTCCTATTCAAAGAAGGTTACCATGACTTTTAGTCACTTTTATTGCGCTTATTTTCTTTGGTCACATTTGATTCTCATCTACAGGGTTCATTTTACCATACTGTCTAGCCGGAGTACATTACTCCGTTTCCATTGCCGTAGCTTCTAGCCAGTGATGAAACTCGCCAGATGCATCTGTCGCATTCATGCTGGTGTCCTTCAAGCCATCAAAGTCACACGATTTCACAGAGTTGAACAAAGCCTAATGATTGAAGCGATCAAGTCAGCTCAAAGCGTTCTGTGAGGACCGGTCATCTGTGCGAATATCTCAACGTCATGTTCAGCAAAAGGTACCCTGTACTGATATTAGGTAGCAATTCTGTGACTCGGTGACCTGTAGCCTGCCAATTCGCTCTTTTTCATTCGTACGCATGAAAACAATTACTTCGTATCCCTAGAGCATGTACACATTCAACCATCTGTCGCTTTTTTTAGGATCCGAATCAAACCACTGATGTGTCAGTGTGGCGGAGCATTGCTAGAGGACACCGGATCGGTAATACTAACGTACCTCGAATGGTTTTCGGAGAAATAACTCGGCCACAACAGATGAACGGATCACATTCCATAGAATGCGCTGACTTGCTCCGTGTGGCGGTTGGCCGAATTCCTCGAAGAGCTTTTTTCACCCAATCACGTGAAGGGTGGAAACGAGTCAGGGGAGGTCAACAATGACGGCAGCTAAGTATGGAAACTCTCAGCCGCACTTGTCGTTGACGTTTGTCTGGATGGGGACCCCGAGGCGGGACACATCAATGGTTAGAGACATTGTCAGGCATAGTCCAATGGCGTGCATTCATCCAAGTTGCAGTCTTCAATACATAGCTCTCCTTTCGATCCCTCCAGTAATCGGTTCACTGAGACTTTTGTATTTACGCATCAACTATACAAACCACCACCTCCAATGCGCACCCCCCCCCCCAAATCATCGGCGAACGGAACTCCGGCAGCGATAACCACTGTCCGGCAAACACGCAGTTTTTACAGCTGAAGATGATGCTGGGAACTTGCCTCTCCAGTAGAAGATAACGGTAAAACATTCGACTTGCGGAGACTAGAGATGGAAATTTAAGCTTCGGATACCGGCTAATAAAAAAAACATACAGTGGCGATTTACAGCTGGAAAATTCTTTTAAGAAGACTGCTGCTTGGGGCATATGTCAAACTGTATTACAGATAAGGGAGTGTAGTATAGTTCGTCAGTTGAGAAAACACCTCGCGAGTACCTGCTCAACAGTTCCAATCGAGCTGTATAGCAAAACCACAGCGCTATTTCCTACAGCATGAAACTAACCCAAAAACAAGGCAAATTTCAGTGCCAGGGTAGCCGTTTAAACTTATGGAACTTACCGCCCGCAAGAAATGCTTAGATATCCACCATCGAGATATCTGATCTTTCCCATAGGCTATAAACCAAGTATAATTCCCGTCGACTCTCATTTCAACCTCGGGATTCACCGCAGATGATTCATTGAGGATTTGTCGTTCATTATAAAGGGAAATTGGTCTGAAAAACATGTCTATAAATAAGTCAAGCCAGTTCGTGCAGAAAAAAATCGATGGATGTCCGTACGAATGGGCTGCCTTGGTTCGTCATGACAACTGACTTGAATCAATAAACTGGAACTGGTATTTATCGTTGCATCTATCGCAGTCCAGTCCTGAGTTGCTAGCCAGGTGAAGCATTGTCAGTCAGACTTCTGTCTAAGTGAGAACGCCGGTAATGGTGTTTCTTCTGCCATAATCTGATCGTACGGTGCAGTCAATGTGGTTCTGTGGACAAATTATGGCAAACAACAAACAGGTTCCAGAAGATTTCACGGACTGTCACCACATAGTGTGGGCCCAAATCGGCTTATTTCGGATATACCACTTAAAGATATGTCCGGACGGCAGTGTTGAGAAAGGCTTCTTATGAAGTCAACACAGCTACAGTCGTCATCAGAAGTTATCAGCCTCACACAAACCCCACAGTATGCATCAGCAAAGTTGTCCTGTGGGTTTCGAGCGTCTGGGCGCTACCTGACTGGGAATTCCTGACAAGCAGGCCAATCGATCGTCACAAACAGGACAGTTACTGGGTCGTCGTGTCGACTAGGTATCGGGCATACCAATCACATCGCTCAAGCGTGAACCGTTTACCCGTTGAGATCTGAGGATTCAGATGATCCAAACTGCACTGGTGGAATAGTGTTAACACGTTCGTCTCGCATATCAGGTGTCTGGAGTTCGAACCCTGGCACGGCCATTGGATATGCACCGCTGATGAGCTCTAATAAGAGCGAAACTCGAGTCCAGTGCTTTCCTCCCTTTGGTGTGGATTCACCAGAATAATTGCGCCAGGACAGGAGGACGATTGCTCAAACGAGAGTGATGTGAATGTGAACAACTAGAGAAAACCTAATGAGAGGTTAAAGTATGCGTGTAATCTTGTATTCATGTGGAAACTAAACTTCATTCCTTCATCGGGTCTATTTGTATGTGTGAACGTGTATTCCTGGATTGAATCAGCGGTCTTCGTCTTTCATAAACGTAAATTAGACGATCGAACAGGAAGGTAAGGGACACAAAAATAAGACTTAGGCTGTTAAACACCTGCCATGCCTCACGAAAGAGTCAGGATGGTTGCCAGGTTGCCCAAACCTAGACGGGAACTGTCGAAATGCCCAGATTGGATTCGAACCATGGACCTTTCCAGGTTGCCCAAACCTAGACGGGAACTGTGGAAACGCCCAGATTGGATTCGAACCAGCTGGCAAGTTAGCACATTAACCACTGAGCCATTTCGAGCTCTGGCGAGCACATATTTTTGTTTGCTTGAATGAACATAGGATGGATGGCACAGAACTTGAGGGTAACAGAGAGAGTCAAATTCACCTGTAGACTTAGTACGAACCCTACAGAGTATCCAAAATTCCTTTCCCTAACTAAGCCATACTCCCCAACTTCCATGTCAACGAACTGTCCTCAAGAGGTGGTGACGTACTTCCTAAAAAGACACCTTTTTCGCAAAAAGCTCTGGCGGCTAACCAG